GCAGTTTAGAGAGATTCATCATAGTACGGCGGAGTATCTGAAGTGTAAGTCGCAAGGTTGGGCATTCACTAACGCAGGTCATATTACTGCTTATCTAACACATAAATCGAAGAGCAAACGAACGAACACACAACTAATATATAGAACATTTTTGCAGTAAAGTCAGGCAATAGACTCATAGAAAAATAAATTTGATTAAGCTTAATAATAATCGATTGCTTACAATTTGATGATATAGAAGACCGTTAATATAGATTCTAACTTTAACTTTTCTTATACTGAATCTTATTGTGCGATCGTGATTGATTTATATATATTTTATATTTTAGATCTTATTGATATATTCCAAATCAGCCAAATTATCCATAGTTGTAAAAAAAAAATGATTCCAAAGAAGTCTCAAAACCCACCAATTAGAGTAATTCTATAAACTGCTCAAGCAAATATTTCTTTAACAAACTTCAATACGCCACAATGAATTTTTCCATGCCCTAATTAATGCTTGGCAATATTAAAATAGTATAAACATCTCTTATCTAAAAGATATGCAAAAACAATTCACTTAAGAATACAAAATCTATGCTCGAAAAAACTGTTGCATGCTTTTAGGCGGGTATTAAAATTCAATGGCAGCCATTTTGAAAGTGTGTAAAAGAGATTTTGCAGCAATTTGCAGCCAATGCATAACTAAGTTATTGTGAAAGCAACAACAACGAAAACAAGAAAAGAGTAAATGCTAACAACATTAACTAAACTTCGAGCGACGGCAGGAAACGTGCATGGGCGAAGGAACGGGGGGCGCGCCAGCAGGCAGCCAGGAGTTTAACCAACCAACGAATCAAGCGACAACCAACCAGTTGCAAGTAGAGCTCGACTGCTCTCATCCGCCGCTGCGTCTGGCTTTCGCTGAGTTCGTCTGGCCAACCACCACGAGACGTGGCAATGCGTGCACCAAATTCTGGCTACGCCGTATGCCGTACGCTGTACGCCGGACACCCGCAGCCGTAGTCATAGGCAGAGACCGTGCCGTGGAATTATATTTCCTATGGGCGGTATTTCGAGGTCCGCCTCTTGCACACACAACTGCCGGCGATTGCTCAGACGTTATAATTTGCAATCACGTTGAGTGCAGCGGCAGTGGCAGCGGCGACGACGTCAACGTCGACGACTCATTGCCCAAAAAAGGGGGTTGTCCGGTCGTGTGCCCGGCTCCTGCTACTGCTTCCTGATCCTTACCCCCGTCTGCTGCTCCGTCGCTGCGCCTGCTGCTGCGGCAAGTGGTTGTTGACTGCCTGATGCTTAGCAAGGTCTTAGCTGTTATTATGCTCATGTGTCACTTTTACAGTGCTGCCAGGACATATGCGGCTCTCTCTCTGTGTATGTATGTGTGTGTCTGTGTTTTTATACACTCATTTATATATATATATAGGTGTATATGTGTGCGTGTCTTGCTGCACTGTTCATATTTTATTCAACATTTGCCTGCTCTAGTAGATTTCCTGCTCGCTCTCTCTCTCTCTCCCTTTCTGGCTGTATAGCTCTGTCTCTCTCTCTCCCTCTCTCTCACTTTCGCTCCAGCAGCTCTCAGTTTTTATGGCGTCTACAGACATTTTGCCAAGTTAATCTCCGGTTTGTTTTTCTGATAATGGGTTTGTCAACGCTACTTTGTGAGGTCCTCTATTTGAATACCAGTTCATCTGTCTATCCATGCGTATATCTGTCTCTGTCGCGCTGTCTGTCTGGGTGCGTGCGTGCGTATATATGTGTATTTAAATGTGTGTATGTCTGCATCTGACCTAACCGCTTACGTATTTTATATTTAAACTGCAAGGCCAACAGCGGGGGAATCATGAGCAGTAGGCAACTGGCTGATACCCTGTACTAGACATGGAAGATCTTAACTTGCATATATGTGGGCGTATAAGTACGTGGGTTGTTTGAAAAGTAGTTCATTTATCTATACATCAAGGACTTGCTGCTTCTTTCAATATATCCTACGCAACCCCATTCAAGGCGTGCAAGTTGCAACTCTTAGCTTAGCATCGACTAGATATACCCTGTAAAATTGTCAGGAGTAACCTCGCATCGACTAGCATATACCCTGTAGTACTAGAAACCTGTACAAAGACTCCATATGTTAAGTTTTCTTATAGATGTAATGCAGTTATAGACTTTCTATAATATAATTTATATACTCAACATATTCAATATAAATTTTAAAGAATTCCCTTCTCAACTTGTATCGCTTTGCCACTCGTCGATCCTCCCTTGTTGTCGTTTGCCCAACTCGTTTTGTGGCATTCATATTAAAATGGTGTTGCTTCATTTCAGCCACGCCCACAAATTTAAGCATATACACGCCCAAAAATTAATCAAGCTGCTGTTGAAATTCTGCACTGTCATTTTTCGGGTAGCTGCAGCCCTCGACTCCTGCGCCTGCTGCTGTTCCTGCTCGCAGCCACCTGCTAGGACGCACAATTTTTGGTGGGCGTTGCTGTGCGTGACTTGAGGCAACACTGTACAGTGGGTACTGGCAGCTGCTTAAACGTCTACCAAATATGTGTGTCTTATGTCGAGCTGGAAGCCCAGCCCAAACTGCAGCTGATGTTGACAAGCTCAATTAGAGGCGGGCGCTCTAATGCATTCAGATTTTGGGGCTGAGATTGGATTTGGGGCTTGGATTGGTGGGGACTTGGTAGTTTTTGCAGCGCATTCAACGATATTAAATTAATTGCACTTTTAAGCAGATTGCAGCGCTGTTAAGCAGTTCAGCCAGAGGAGCAAAAGCAGTTGAGCAAAAACAGTAAATACACTTGAAGAAATAAAAGATTTAATTGGTGTGGTTTTTGAAAACAAATTATGTGTGGTTTATATATTGAAATTTGCATGGCAAACTAGAAAAAGTTCGCAGATTTTTAAAATATTTATTTGAAAATTTTTCTACTTCATAAAATAAAAAATTTCTTTGTTTTATCATGAATTATTTTTGGAATGAAAGAGATAATTCTTTAACTAAGCTTTTTAGAAAGGGAATAAAATTGTTAAGCTTAAATTTATTAAATAAAATTTGTATCACATGTTTGATACATCAGTGATGCCAATTTAGCCCATTTTGAGTATATTTTATCTTATTTCCCATCACTGAAGATTCTCATCTTTTGATATGTTATTATTAAAATCCCTTAAACTCACTTCAATTGTGACTTACTCAACATTTTTTCGAGTGCACAGTTCAACAAGCGAGCAACAAAGCGCGCATTAATAGCTTCAGCTTAAGCAGTTGCCAGTAGCAAACCCAAACCCAAACCCAAGCCCAAGCCCAATCCCAATGCCAATCCCGATCCCAATCCTTGGCCAACATTGACTTCAATTGCACGCACAGGTAGATAGAGGTGGGATAGCGAGGAAATGGGTTGTTTTCCAGGATCCACACGTTGCACTCAAGATGATAATCATGTTTACGTGGCGCAAGTTAAATTGCTAGCGTAATGGACTAACAGCAGGTGAGAGAAAGTGGAGATGCAGCAGTTGCTGCTCCTGTTGTTGTTGCTGTTGGCTCTCAGCTCATGCGTGCCTTCAGCTGTCAGCAGCACATTTGGAGCTGCTGCTGCTGCTGTTGCTTCTACTTGCAAGTAGCCAACGAGGCTGGCAAAAAACGCATTTGTTTGGCCGAAACGGATCGCAGATCCCACGTCCTGCTGCAGCTGCTGTTGTTGTTGCTGTGCGCTTCATTGGACAACTGAATATGCAAATTGAATTGAGCGTATTATCGACGAAGGCAGCGACGTTGCCATCTGCAGGTAAGCTGCCGCTCCACTGCCACCTGCCTCCCTAGCCCCCTAGCCAGTCATCGACATCAACATAATCGCTCAAGCCAAGGGATTTGCATGCTATTGTGTAGGTGTGTGCGGGTGTGCGTGTATCTGTATATGTGTGGGGGCCAGTTAAGATGGCAAATGGTGCACAAAATTAAAATTTTAATGGGCAGCAGCTGACGCTTGTTTTGGCTCTGGCTTTGGCTCTGGCTTTCGCTTTGGCTTTGGCTTTTGGCCCACACAATGGCTAAGCAGCTGCGCGCTGCTTCAGCTACCAAGGCGTATGCATAGATCTGATCAAAAATCATTGCATACTTTCAGGCGACACGTGAAAACCGATGAATACGAAAGTATTGCATACTTTTTAGCTGCTTCTGACTAGCCGTAGTGGTCGATAGAATGGGAATTATAATTTTGGTTGTCATTTGTGTTATAATAGATCAACAAATTATGCTAATGGTTGTATATATATCTATACACACACATATATATATATATATATATATATATATATATATATATATATATATATATATATATATATATATATATATATATATATATATATATATATATATATATATATATATATATATATATATATATATATATATATATATATATATATATATATATACATATATATATATTTCTTTGTTTTGTTAAGATTTCAACTTGTGTAGCTTTAAAAAACTCCTAATAAATATGTATTTTGTTAAAAATCATTTAATATAACAAAAATATAATCCTCCTCTCCATTTATTTTAAGTCTAATCAGTTTCTAGCTTAAAATCTGATGTGATATAAATTATGTTGTGATTTAATTCGTTTATGTAATGCTTAAGCAATTGAGCTTAAATGCAATTAAAACATACTTTGAGGCGGCAGCTAAATGAAAATGAATTTATTTAGCTAATTATATTACTCACGCCCTAGCTCTCACTCTCTCCACTTCTCTCTCTTCCATACTCTCTTTCCTTGGCATGCTCTTTCGCCGTTTTTCTACTCAATTCTCTTGCTGATTGACGCACGTAAACAAAAAGTGCGCCAAGTGCCTACGGCGGGGCAGCTACATACATACATATACATATGTATATATACACATATATATGTATATGACATATATATATCTGTATCTATAGCGTCGCATTGCCGCTAAGCACACCGCTGGCCAGTCAACGCCGAGCGCCGTCCCCGAGCGGCCGCGATTTTCACTCAACAACAAAGCACAGCAAAAATAAAAAAAAATAAAATATAAAAAAAAAAATTGTTATAAAATTAGCGCTATGTAAAAACGGAAAGTCAAATCAACTTGGAGAACTGCGCCGGCACAGTTGTTGCCAATTCTTGCTGCAGCAATATATAGTCGAGGAATACACAGCATTGCTGACCATGCCCACAACGCAGCCGCCGCCCAATCGTCGCCAGCTGCTGCGCAGCATTGAAAGCTTACGCGGACGCGTTTGTCAAATATTAAATTGTGTTATTAATTTGCACATTGAATTTTTGGTAATTGAACAAACAGAAAAAAAGCTTGAAAAGCGCATAAAATATAAATCGTGTCACATGTCGAGTGCATAAGTCATGGGAAAGGGACAGCGAGCGACAGAGAGAAAGAGCGCGAGAGAGGGAAAGAGGGAGAGAGAGTGTGTCGTGTTGTGTTGAGTGTGTGAGCTTATGTCAAATAACATTGGTTGTTGAAAGCTCTCGGCAATTGATATGACACAAGCCGGCAGACATGTCAACTATTTATTTATATTTATAAATACCCTACAAAAGGGTATTAGGAATCTAACTTGTATTTGGTAACACATTGAAGTGCATAGATTCTATTTTAAAAAATACACATGATTCATTTTGTTTCAAATGCGTATACTACTCATCTAAAACAACAGCTAGTCTGTCCCCCTCTCTCATGTATGTTCTCAGATTCAGCATTAAAACTCTATATAGAACTATATTATTGTTACAGGTAATAATAATGTATATCAAAATGGTCTATGTTGAACTATTACAGCTTACTTGCCATGAGAATAAGTAACAAAAATCAGAGTACGGTCCCTTTATATTGAAAGAAGTAAAGTCATAAGGAAAGTATCAATAATGCAGATTAGTGAATCCAAACAGTTCTGATAAGTTGAAATAGTTTCATCTGTCCAACTATTTGCTTAGAAAATTATACTTAACAATAGTCTCCTATTTATACAAAGTTATATGTCTACATTCAATTAAATATTCAACTAATAGAAAATAGTCAACTATATTCAACTATACTGTCATATAAGCAAGCAACTTCGAGTTAGGGTATTTGCTAGTCGCTGACTTGCTTATTAAAACACTTTTACTCGTTCTTATTTACGTGTAGCGTGCTGTTATCTTAACTCGGCTTTCACTTCAGCTTCCAGTTATCAGTTATTAATTGTTATCAGCAGCTGTAGAGTGTCGTAAATGCCAACACCAACCCATTGCCCCACCCCGTCTTACTCAATTAACTCTTCAGCAATAGAGTTCGCCTCGTTGCAGCTGCATTAGAGTTGAGTTTTGTTGTTAACAGTTGCGACACAGATTTCGTACAAGTTAATGCAATTATAGCTGGCTATTGGGAGCAACTAGACACAATATGGAACACTCTCTCAGCCAGCTCGGCCGCTAGTCTAGACAATGGGCAATTATTTAGAGAATTCGCATAAATTTTGAAATGTCGACAAAACCATGAAATTTTTGTTAGCCAATCAAAACTATGTGACAGAGATTTCATTATGTCAATAATAATAAAAACATGTTTGCATATTTGCAATTTGCAATTTGCCTAGCACACAGTCATTATATAACCCACTGTAAGTGGGCGTGTGATGGGGCGTGACTGCTGGCTGACATGCATTTTGACATGGAGCTTAGTTTGCGTGGTTCACAGCATTTGCTAATTGGTAGCTAATAGACAAAAGGCGAATAGTAGGTGGCAAATGCATAGATTTTAGTTAACTGAAATCCGAGCTGTCAACGGTGAATGCATATGCCAAAGGCATACCCTGTAATTAATTTAAATGGGCTAGCGTGTGTTATGCTAATAAATTTAGGGTTATGCCTGTATAAAGTCTTAGCTATTAGAAAAGATTATTTTTGTTATTATTATTATTATTATTATTGTTATGATTATTATTATTATTATTATTATTATTATTATTATTATTATTATTATTATTATTATTATTATTATTATTATTGTTATTATTATTATTATTATTATTATTATTATTATTATTATTATTATTATTATTATTAGTGTTATTATTATTATTATACGAATTGTGTTTTTATATTATTTAGATTTTATTCATTCTTACTGTCATCTTCATTATAATCGTTATTTTTAATATCTAATATTATAATTTCAAACAAATCAATATAGACTTTCATAAGTCCCAACTGAAAGGCCTTAAAATTCTGTTATAAATGCAAAAGCAAACACAGAACTGAAGAAGAATATCAATAAGAGGCTATCTGCTCGTCGATCATTCTTATCTAGAGTAGCACTTACCTGTTTAAGGCCTTCAGCCCGGGGCTATCAAAGAGCGTAACGGTGTCAGTTGACAACGTGTCCCGCGTCTCGCATCGCGCCTTGGCGCAAATCGAGCAAACTAAGCGATTTAAGTTTAATCTAATTTTCAATCGCACCTCTTGCGGGTGCTTTTGCAGGTGCTCGAATCGAACGTGGCCGCATTGCTGGATGAGGTGAGATGCCTGAACGATGACTACGCTGAGGCGCAGCGCTTGGATACGCTGATCGCGGCGTTGCGGGACTACAATGGACCCACCATTTGCCACGAGTGGCCATATCCTTTGATTTTTAAGGGCACAATCGACGAGGCACACGTCGCACAAATACTCAACACAACGGAACTGGTTCCGGAACCAGCACCAGCAGTAGCCAGTGCCAAGGATGAGCTATTGAAGCAGTCTGAAATGGAAGCGAGCGAGATGGCTGGCTTGGGCAGGCGTTCCAAAATGTGGCGGTTCACTCGAACTAGATCAGCGGCGCGAAAAGCAAAAGGAACTAGTATAAGCTGATGAACCGTTGAGAAATACTAATGCAATTACTAAGTGCCAGCGAGACGATAATCAAAAGCATGACAGTTCACTAGAACTAGATCAGCTGCGCGAATAGAAATGGGAACTAGTCTTAGCTGATTGAGAGGTTTGTTCCCTTATATTTATATAAGTCTGTTTAGCTTACTTTCTTTATATTCTATGCCAAGGAATACCAAAAATATATGTTAATGCTTAAGCGATAAATGTCAAGCTAATGTGTTGGCGGTTTCTATTGCTGTGCGTTTAATTGACTGCGGTCAATCGGCAAGCTTTGACCACGAGACATTGATGGCAGCTACTATGTGGGGGGTGGAGGGCCTACCTCTGCCCACGTGGTGCGTAACCACAGGCGTCGCATTCAAGATTTTTGCGGCGCTGACGGAAGCAGACATTGCTTTTGACATGAGACTGTGGCTTAAATTGAGATACAGCCTGTTTACACAAAGAAAACATAGCCACAGTCTCCGCCGCCTCAACACGAAGTGGAGAACCGCAACAGGTTGCCGCATCTAATTAAAATAACCCCCTTTGTAAAAGGAGCCGTAGCTCTGAATAGGCGAAAGTGAAAAGTAGAAAGCACCACAGCTCTAATACCCTGGCAAAGGACATACTAATGTCAGTATAAAACAGAAATTCTAAATCGAATCAATGTGGCTTCTCTCATATCGCATTTATACATAAACAATTATTCAATGTTTATATGAATTTTTCATATATCTTAATAACATTATGAAGGTTTATAACAAAACAAAGAACCTTTCGATTGTCAAAACCTTATTGAAAATGGGAATTTGGGGTATCATGCTGCTTAAGTTGTCTTAATCAAGCCACACATTGACAGGCTTACTAAGCCATATTCAATTTGTCTGACATATCAAATTACTTTCATAGAAACTGATTCATTTAAATAGAGATGAGTCTCTTACACTTAAAATAAGTTCTATTGAACAGTTGACAGTGAACAGCTGTCAATGAACTACTGATCTTGTTCAATGATCAGTGAACGAAACATGATACTCATGATACTCAGTTGTTCCATAATTTATAATACATTGCATTGTTTATGAATGATAAGTTGAGTAAAGTAGTTCAACTCTTTATGAACAACTAGTTCCGTACAGCTGACGATCAGTCCCAGCAGCATTTTTCTCATTTTTCAACATCAGAAACATATTTAAATATTAAATAATTAAATTGGTAAGCATAATTAGCTAGTTTACGAGCTCAAAATACTCGTAATTGAATTCTCTCAACGTATGCGTAAATAAACATAATTATATATATATATATATATATTATATATATACATATATATATATGTATATATATATTATATATATATATATATATTTGATTCATAGGGTATTTACTGGTCTCTCATTATTTTCTGCTTGATAATTTTGTTATTGTTTTTGCTTGGTTACTTTTGCTGTCGCGTTATTAATTATACATAAACCCAGAGAGAAGTAAAACAATAATAAAGCGCTTCTACATTGTTGTATGTGTGTGTCTGCCTGAGTGTGTGTAAATGCTTTTGTTTGCTGTAAATTATTCATAACGGTATTATCAGCTTTTCTGCGCGCTGCCTGGTTGATTAAATTGCTCGGCCAGCGCTGAGGGCCAAGGAAGAGCAGCGAAAAGCTAATGATGCCACACAAACACAAATGCACATGTGTGTGTGTATAAATAGCACACACATAGCATTCGCTCGCGCCATCTCTCTCTCTCTCTCTCTTCTGTCTCGCTTCACCACGCAATTTTTCTGCACAATTTATCAACTCTTCTACTATGAGACTATGTCTCGCTGTGTGTGTGTCTGCTTGGTCAGGGACAATTGCAGCAGCGCGCCATAATTATTTAAAAAAAGATATAAAATGCAACAACAACAACACCAGCAACAATTGAGATAATGAGCGCGATGAGAGTCAAGCAAAAAGCGAAAGTGAAAATAT